CCCAAGGCAGGCTGCAGCAGCTGGCACCCCAGGCGGAATACGCAATCAGCGCCCCCGCCTGCATGGCCATCAATGGGGTGACATCATCATCGGGTGCCCTGGGTGCCCTGTGTTGTCATCATCGGGCGCCATTGAAGGCGGCGCCCTAGGCGACGGCTGAATTGGCCTATAGTCACGGGCCATCCCTGTATACGCTGCGTTCATAACCTTCGTATTGAATGTGTGCCAGCAACACTGAGAGCACAGGAGAGGCTCCCATATTCTCAGTTCCAATGGCTGGCCCCACCATGGCCTAGAGCAGCAATTAGAGTGAAAGCCCTACTTAGCCCCGTAGCTCTGGCTGGAGCGTACCCTGTAGGGATGGTGCATGTGTAGCCTTGTCACCTGCTGGAGCGGTGAGGGGATGGCAAATGGACAATTGCTTTGTGTGGATAGCATGTGCATAATCTGGTTAGCATCAGGAGCTGTGAGAATCTTCAGAAACCTTCGCTGATAAAATCAAAGACATTGAGCGTGTGAAAACTGCAATATTTCAGAGGCTGATAACTTGCCAGATAATGGCAGATTTTCATAAGCAAGCACAAGGCATATTCCTGTCACAAAGGCCAACTCCTCCTGCCAAATTTCAAGCACTCCAAACCATGGGGGCACTAGAGCTTTCCAAAGGAAGGTTCTCAAGAATTTAAGATGGACAAAACCTATTTCTCCCTTGGGTACGTCTAGACTACCGCGTTTTGTCGACGGAAGTTTTGTCGACAGATACTGTCGACAAAACTTCCGTCGACAAAGAGCGTCCAGACATATTGAGTTCTGTCGACAAAGCAAGCTGCTTTGTCGACAGAACTCCGTAGTCTGGACGCAATGTTACAGGCAATAACACCTTCTGTCGACAGAATTCTGTCAACAGAAGGCGTTATGCCTCGTAAAATGAGGTATACCAGCGTCGACAAAACTGCTGAGTTCTGTCAACGTTATGTCGACAGAACTCAGCGGTAGTGTAGACGCTGGTATAGTTTTGTCCACAAAAGTCCACTTTTGTCGACAAAACTAGGTAGTCTAGACACACCCCTTGTTTCATTCTCCAAACCAAGTCTTTTTTAAAAGTCATGCTGAGACAGACCCCTCCCCCTCCCCAGCATGGAAGTTTGCAGCCCAAATAGTGAAAGTTTAGCAAAGTTATAAGCAGTTGGAAACAGGGAAGTGTCAGGTAACCTTAGTAACAGGTGGTGTTACCAGCTCCACATGTAAATATATAGGGAAGAGATTCTGCTAAGACCTTCATTTCTCTCTGTAATTTTACCCTCTAAGCTTACACTATGTGGTTATTGAGTATGATGAAGCCTTACAACAGAGGGTGATTTTACACTCCAAAGCTGTTTACAGTGGCACAACAGAGGGAAGTAAGAATGCAATAGTAGTTTTCACCTCAAATGTCCATCTGCTGATGGGATTAAATAAAGTCCTTGATGCTGTTTTAATAAGCATTTCCTTTTTGTATTAAGGATTCTTTGAGGACATGGTATCTAATAAAATTTCATGGTCTGAGACAATTAGATTAAGAGAATGCAAAGTACTATTTCAGGTTTTCTGGTCCATTGGCTGACAGTGTGTGTGGAGGGTGGGGGGGTGCACAACCACACATGCATCAGTAGAACTGAAATACACTGATGCTGACTGTGACAATTTTGATGTGCCGCACTAGTGGAACATGAATGCCATCTTGTGTGATGGTGAAACATCAATTGCAATTGTGTTTTCCTGATGGTGGTGTCAAGTTGTTTTTTTTAAATAAAATCCATTCTGGAGCTTTCATTATATGTGCCCAAATATAATTACTTCTTTTAAGGACCGACCCATGGATGGTGCTCTCAGAATTTATTGTAGTGTGTAAGAGCCTCTCACCCTACTATGATAATAACTCTGAGCTCTCTTTACTGTGCAGACTGTTCATATTAAGGTGTGTAAATCCTATCAGGGCATATTATCCTTTTAGTACAAAATATAATTGAACTCAGTAGGGCAGGGTTGGGGAACTTTTTTGGGGTTGGGAGCCACTAACCCAAAGAAAAATCAGCTGGGGGGAAGGGTGCATACTAGCTGTGCCCCCCCAGCAGACCAGGGAGACGCAGGCGGT